GTGTGTGTTGTGTGTGTGTGTGTGTGTGTATGACCTGTGTTGGAAGGCTCAGGATGCTGGACGGGTGTGTGTGTCGTGGTGTCCTGTAGCTCTGGATCCAGCCGCTGAAGTCTCTCCTGATGTCTGCTGTGTTGTAGTACCAGTGTACCGGCATAGACAGCGCATCAGCCACACACATTCCCCACAGCGCCTCACTCACCGACACACGCACACTGGACATCTGCACTCCACACACACACACACACACACACACACACACACACACACACACACACACACACACACACACACACACACACACACACACACTTGAATGGAAACATGTTTTTCAGTTTTTTTTTCAATAAAATATATTCTGATAAAAAATGAAAAAATAACAAATAAAACATCAGTAAACACCATCATCATGTGTATTTTACATATTTAAATATTCAATAATATACATACAAACAATAAAGTGTTGTTATACAATAATATTATTAATATGATTTTATGATGTATTTGTTATACACACACACACACACACACGGCCACTTTATTAGCTGTCATGTCAATATGGAGCAATATCTCTGTGTAATATTTCCAGCAGCTTGTTGAATCTCTGAGGATTAAAGCAGTTCTGAAGGTGAAGCCTGAAGTCCAGCCTGGTACTAGTGAGGTGTACCTAATAAAGTGGCCAGTAAGTGTGTGCTTAATTATATATCCATATAGCACATGATATAGAAATAAACACATTTAAATAAAATAATATAAATATAAATAACAGAATTTTATAAATAAATTATAAACACACACACATATATAATAAATGTTACAGTACATTGATTCAATATATATATATAACTACAACAGGTCTGAAAAGTTAACAGAAAACACACACAAGTTTAATGATAGTAAATGACACACACACACACAGAGGTGATGGTGAATATAGATGTGTGCTCTTACTGTCGGAGCGGTTCGGCTGTGCTGTGATCAGTTCTACGGTACCGGCGGGAGCGCGCACACTCACTGTTACAAAACCCCACCGGAAGTGCTCTGCGGGATACATAACAACCTTTTCACAGTCATGAGAGCGTGCAGCGGCGCGTCACGTGCTGTGCTGTAATGTGTGTTACATGTGTGTTCACACTAAACTCCGCAGTTTACCGAGAAAAAGCAGAATATAAGACAAGACGCAGACAGACATAGACGAACACAGAGACATCGATCGACGGAGAGCTCGGTTAACTGTTATATTCTCACTCAACACGCACAAACACGCAACACCATCACAACCAGACTACAGAGAACTTATAATGACGGTCCAAATATTAGGATGCGACAATGAGAATGTTCGATGATCGATTCATTAGGACTTTTCCTAGAGTCAAAACACTGAGGGAATCTGATTCATTCGGTTCGTTCGGACAAATGATTCACTCAGTTGTTTGGATTATCTAATCGAAGAAAGACTTCTCTGATCTGCTCGATGGCAGTAAATACGTGTATCCAGCGGTGGTGTTTACTGGTCTGTTTTAGGTTAGTTTAATCAGATGATTATGAGTCTTTCTGTAGTGATTCACTAACGCTTCGGTTCGATTGAACCGTTGACTTGACTCGAGCCTCATGTGGAGGAGCTGAAGCCGCTCTCCTTCTCTCATTCACCCTGATGAAGTCATTAAAGTAAGAAACTCGCTGTTTATAAGCAGATTCAGCGTTTCCAGAGCTTCAATAATGATGATTACCTGTAACCCGAGCTGTTTTATTCATCAGCAGAGTCTGTGTGAACCCGAGTGCGTGCGTGTGTGTGAGTCGTGTTGTTGTTGAATGGTGTGTTTGTGTGTGTGTGTGTAGTGAATGCACCGAGTGTTCATGTGTGTGTTCATGTGTGTTTCTGCAGATCTCCTGAACCCTGAATGAAACTCAGTGATGGAGACTGAAGCCGGTGAGGATACAGCGTTAATCTGATGTTCAGTAGTGCTCCTGCTGCTGCTCAAATACTGACAATATTAATATCAATACACACCAGACAATACACAGCATTCATAACAGTGCACGAGCTGACGATGACGATGATGATGATGATGATGATGATATTGGTGGTGTGTGTTTCAGACACAGCAAAGACCTTCTGGTCAGAGGTGGATGTTGATGGAGTGTTTGATGAGCTGATGGAGGTTTTGAGACGCTTACGACACACACTCAGACACAACACTGCCACTGACAGAGGTATACACACACACACACACACACACACACACGCGCGCGCATAAACAAATACACCAACACAGACAGTTACAGTATACACACTCAGTGATACACACATGTGTTCTGATGATGACGATTATGATGTGTGTGTGTGTGTGTGTGTGTGTGTGTGTGTGTGTGTGTGTGTGTGTAGAGTATGTTCAGGCCATGAGGATCGTCCAGGAGTCTAAGCTGATAAGGACTGAAACTGAAGACTTGCTGTTGGATGAAGGTGTGTGTGCGCTGCTGATCAACCCTGATGATCAATACTGATGATCATTACTGAGTGTGTGTGTGTGTGTGTGTGTGTGTTTCAGATATCCTCACAGTGACGGTGTCTGAGCCTCAGTGTTCTCCTGAGAGTCTGCAGAATGGCATCGAGCCGGAGGATCCTCAGCACAGCACGGCACGGTCCGACATCATCATCATCATCATCATCAGTGTTATTGTTATTACGTGTGTGTGTGTGTGTGGGTTTCTGTGCACACATTTCAATGTGCGAGCAAGTGTGCATTGTTGTGTGGGCATGTGAGTGAGTGAGAGAGAGTGTGTGTGTGTGTCTCTGCCTGTTTGTGTGCTTGCATGTGTGTGTTATTGTATGAGTGTGTGTTGATGTGTGAAACACTGGTCATTAGTGTAATGTTGCAATAGTTACTGATTTGTGTGTGTGTGTGTGTGTTCCGCCAGGCTCTACAGTGATGTGGGCGTGGTCTGCAGTCACATGTCCTCCAGCAGGCCTGATCCCGCAGCTCCTCTCGTCTTCCAGCCGCACGTCTGCAGCTCCGCGTGTGTTCCGCATCTGCCCGCACACACACACCACCTGCTGGGCCACAACCCGCTGCGCGCGCCGCTGCTGTGCCACTTCCAGCGTGTGTGTGACGACGCGGGCGTGGTTTACAAAGCGCCGTGTGGGCGGAGCCTGAGCTGCATGCAGGAGGTGCTGCACTTCCTGCTGCAGACGCAGATTGTGTGTGTGCTGCAGACGGACCACTTCAGCTTCAGCACGCAGGTGTGTGTGGAGCGGCAGGTGTGTGCGGCGCCGCTGCTGGAGCGGGACCTGAGCCGCGGGCTGGAGCCGGTGCCGGTGGCTCTGGTGAACACTGTGGACGGCGCGCGGCCGCGGGAGTTCCGGTACCGGAGAGAGCGCTGGCCGCACGGCTGCTTCCTCAGCGCAGAGCCGCTCTACAGTGTGTGCTGCGACTGCAACGACGGCTGCACTGATGCGCACAGCTGCGCGTGTGTGAGGAGGACAGCAGGAGCAGCGTACACACACCAGCGCCTCACACACACACTGCGCACAGGGTCAGTCATCTGTGTGCGTGTGTGTGCGCTAATGTGTGTGTATGTGTGTGTGTGTGTGTGTGTGTCTGTGTGTTGTTGCATGAGTGTGTGTGTGTTGTTGCATGAGTGTGTGTGTGTTGGTTCATATCATGAGTGTGTGTGTGTGTGTGTGTGTGTGTG